GCAAAAGTTCTGCTCTTCTGCCACTGTCAAGCTTGAGGAACTTGGTTGAAGCCCCTGGAATTACATTCATATAAAGTATTTAAAAATTGCAGAGAATTCTCATTTTTAAGCATTAAACTTATTCTTCCTCTAAAGCATAAGCTGTAGAAATACCTATTTTCAGATTGTTGCAAATGCCAAAGTTCACTCACATCCTTGGAGTCAAAGCTTCTCTAGAGCTCATTTAACTGTTCAAACAAGTGGTTTTTTTTTTCCCCAGTTCTTCACATTTCTTTGGTTTTCTGCTTTTTTCTCCTTTATACTTTATTTGCTTTTTGTCATCGACTTTTATGCAGAAATAGAGACTGAAATATAGAAGCAAAGAGAGGAAGGAGCAGAGTAATAGAAAAATGAGAAAATAAAAATACATAAACTGAAGGAATGAGAAAAGAAAAACCAAATATTTACTAAACAGCTTTAGATAAGAGAACAGTCACTTCAAATCCTAAGTACTGAATTGGTGCCTAATTCCAAAATGTTGCTCCTGCTCTGTCAGCTCTGGATAAATCCAAGCAATAGGTGCTGGTGGGAATGATAGTCATCCAAGCAGAAAAATCTCATTCTTTTGCATCCATTAATCTAACCACACAGTTGGCAGTTGTGTTTTAACTTACAAACGAGTCCTCCTGGAGAGCTGTGGGCTTTCCACGAGCCTCACACATCCTCAGACCAGAGGCAGCACTCTCTGGGAAGCATCCATAAATCATCAGTAGAAATTGTCTATAAATTAACAATCCATGGATTAAATAATCTTTTATTTGTCTTGAATTGGATGAAGTTGTTGAGACTGAGGACTCGGTGACCAGACTGAGTGAAGACTCCCTAAGCTGGTGATGATGTCTTATCTAGGCAGCTATTTTAGGTGCTCTGACTCACCTCCTGAAGGTTCTTGCTTCACCCTGGCCATGGAGGGATCCTAAATTTAGATGCTGTGGACATGGCTGAAGGGAAATGGTGTGTCAGTACTGCAGGGTATGGCATCTCAGGAAAAACTGGTCACTATTCACGGTACACAACGTCCTCATCTTACAACAGAGGAGGGTGGCTGCTGCCTGCAGAAAGCCCTTTGCAGCCCTGGGTGGGAGGATGAGCATGGAGGGGTTGAAGGCTCTGGCCCTGATGCAAATATCGGGCTCTGGGGGCTCACCACCTTCACTCTCCTTGGAAGCACTGGAATTTCAGCATATGACGTGCTGTCTGTGGTCTCTACCCTCCTCTTCCAGATCCTGGGATCAGTACTTAAAAGAGAAATTAGGGATTTAAACCACTTCAGCTGAACCCCTTGTGGAGGGGAGGGGCACAGCTGCAGAATATGCTTTTCCAAAACTTTTTTTTCCAAGCCTGCATCCTCACAGTTCATCAAATTTTCTCAAAATCAAGCCCTTTTTAACCATAAGAAGTCAAAGCTGGAAGAGGCTTTGAGGTCACTGAGTGCAACTCCTAGTGTCACCAGTGTTGCTCATCAGAACTTGCATTTTTACAGCGTCCCTCCGACAAAAGCTGCCTTTGCTGTGAGGGTTTCCCTTGCTATTTGCAGCAAACACAAGTAGTATCATTTCCAGTTTTTACAGGCTTGTCAGTAAGGCCCAGTTAGAGGTCCAAAAAATCAAAGGCTTCTTATTTATTTTGAGTTTTTTTGTTGGTTATTTGTGTTGAGTGGTCCTTTTCTCACTGTAACTTCAAGGTAAGGTGCTTGATAATAAATAGAGCTGCTGGGAATTTGCTTATCTAATATCATTATGAAGAATAATAATTTAAGAGCATCAGCAAGTGGCTGAGGCTTTTGCAGAATGCTGTTTCTCTCCAAAGGAATCTGAGAGCATTACAGGAGGGTGGTCAGGTGGGTACATCGATCCAACTGGGATGTTTAAGATAAGACTGCCACCAAGTTTGGGTACCACACAGGCCCTGGTTGGCCCATGGCACAGTACAGGATAAGTGACAGTGATATTTCCTCCCAGTGGGAAGCACTGAATAAAATAAAATGAAACAAACCCAATTGCAAAGTCAATGCAAAACTCCCACGTCCCTCAGTAAGCACTCGTGTAGCCTAAATAAGAAATCTCTGTCAGATAAGCCATGACCTAATTTTCAGCTCTAGCTTTGAGGAGTTTAGGTTCAGGCTGATTTCACGGGAGGTGAAGCCTAATTGTAATCCTAGTTTCAAAGTCTTCACAGCTTTGTTGACTTTCAGATCCAGCTCTGATCTGTGATCTTAAACTCAATCTGATTTTGGTTTGCTGCCCCCGGGCGAGCTTGGGTGGAAGTGTATTGCATTGACTTGACTTCTATTTAAGTCCCTATTTAAACTTTCTACAGCAATTAACAACAGCCAGAATTAAGCCAATAATACACATTTTCCCCTATCACTCAAGATTACAAATAATGGCATAATTTAACTCCCACAGATGTTCCTTAGCCAAGCAGAAAAAAGTTTAAGAGAAAAACATTTCTGGTGTCCAAGAAGGTCAAGAAACCTCAACAGAGCAGATTTGCTTGTGAGAGTCCCGATGGTTCCTGTTTCTGGCCAAGCTGGCAACAGAGCATATGTACAGAAAGCCACGTTTGCCACATCTGAGGGCAAGGGGAGGAATTTTCAAAATTTCTCTGACTTCTGTGCTTTCAGTAGTCTCCCTGTTCTCATGGGCTGAGCCCTGTGGTGGGGAACCAGAGCAGGGTGTGAAGGTCTGAGGTCCTCCTCAGAAGTGGAGGATGAAGTGGAGGTCTTCTCCTTGAGAAGACCCTCGGACAGAAAAGCTCCATCTGCTGCAGATGATGAAGCTGAGATGGTGGGAATGGTTGTTCCCCAAAGAGCATCACGGTTGGTGTTGCTGAGAAGACATGGCCTTGTGCCAAGGATCAGCCTGGACTTTTGGTTTTAAAGTACAGGATTGTCGTCAGAAATGACTTGCTTCAAAAAAATAGGAAATAAGAGAAGAAAAAAAGGAGTGAAGTGATTTGAAGTCTGCCAGAAAATGGGAAGGGGGAGGCTGCTGCCTGGCTCAGGGCCTTGTTTCAGTGAAAGCTATTTAACATTTTTATAACTGATGGCAAAATTGCACACCATTAATGGGCTCTCTTTAAGGCTATAATTTATTCTTATTTCTTAGAGGCAACGGAGTAGGGGCCAGACTGCTTTATCCTGTGGTATTAAGGAGCCTGGAGCTGAGAAGCTTAGCGCTGCTTTGTCAGGATTTTCTCCACCTGCCAAGATAATAGAATAAAATCATCTTATGCAGAGAGCTGCTCTATATTTTTAAAAAGAATGCTCTTTCTCTTTCAATTCAAAGCCTTCAGGGAAAGGTGGGAGGAATAGGGTTGTATGTGTGAGTAAATGCATATTTTCATTATTAGCTGCCTTTTCTATCTTCAGGAGCTATGATTTCTCACTGCCAGACTTCCCTAAACTTCTCTGGGTAGTAGTTGTGTGTATTGAGGTGGAAGCAGACAGACGTTAAAAAAACCTATTCAGAAACAAGAGATATTTATAGGGTGAGTACATCCCACGGAGGTTACGATGTCATGGGACAGGTTAAACTGACTTTTATAAAAATAAATTTCTTTGAGGGGAAAAGAAAGAAAAATCCCACAAATTTAGTTTTCTTTTTTTTTTTTTTTCCCCCTCCCAACCATTAATAACAAAAGGAAATTTTGTTTTCACCCATGTTTATCAAAACAGAAAGTAGGTGTCTCTAGCAATGAATCCCATCAACCACTTGTGACCCTCTGAAAGCTTCTTGTGCATTTTGAAGTCAGCTGGTCGATGGGATGAAACCTTATCATAAATATCATCAGTTTCTGGTGATGTAACAGAAAAAAAAAATTACCATTATTAGGAGTATTTTGAGTGTGCTTACACAAACTAAGCTACATCAGTTGACAACATCAACTAAGCTTGAATAATAAAATATTGAATTTCTGAAGCCAGAAACTAAATCCATGACTAAATGTTTTGATGTGAACTGTTTGCCAGACTCTAGTCATGTAAAGGAAAGAAGGCACAGGTAGATAGGGGGAAAAACTCAAATACCAGTTAAACCAGACCTTAGTAGGATCTCAGAGGTGAAGGGAAAAGG